GTTAATTTCCCAGAAAGGACACAGAGGTTTCATGTTTTATGAACCACAATTTTAGTGTAAAAACTAAATAAAGCACTTACAAGTTCCTAGGCACACTGTACATGACACAACTCACTGATGCTTTGAACACCTCTCTCCCCTGTGACTGTGAACCAGCAACAATTATTTAAAGAAATAAATGCATACATACAGAAATAAAGGAAGAAGATGCTGATCACCTAACTCTCCTTATACCGGGGAGAAGACCCATCCTTGAGGAGTTCTTCTGAGAGAAACCACAAGAGCCTGCTCATGTTTGGGAAGAACCAGCCACCAAGGCTTTTTTTTTGCAGTGTACAAACTCCAACTCTGGAAATGTCCACAGGTCGAAGGAGATGCTGGTTTACTGCTGGGTTTTGTTCTTTCCAGACGTCTCCTCTCCAAATGGTCGGCTCCCCTGCTTGGCACCAGCAGGCCTCACTTTCCAAAGCTTCCTCCTCTTGCACAGCTGTAAGCACCAGCACAGAGGGACACATGCTTTCAGCATCTCCCTTCTGTCAAACTCTCACCATTTTGGGTCAAGGCAGGTAAAACCTATGCAGTAAGGATTTAACCTTGAGGAACCATTCTGGGAAGCTTTCAGCACTCACAGCAGGAAGGAAGACACCAGCTTTGCAGCTGCCTTGCTGTTGCCCCCTGCCCCAAGGCCGGGGGGCAGCCAGAAATGGCCCTCACCAAGTGCCACTTCTCTGAGAAACGCCGCATCGCAGATGAAGCAAAACTCAGATGATCAAATTCCTTTCGTATTCACATCCTTGGAGTTTGACACATTATTTGAATGAGAAATCAACGCTGAACTTGATCTCGTTTGCTTTTTGTGGACTTCTGCAGAAACTGGTCTGTGTTTCCAGGAGTTCCCACACCGGTTTGCCTGGGTAAAAACCACGCTTCATGAGGGGAGGAACAGAGTCTGAGCAGCTTTTCCCAGATATGACAAACACGGCGGCTACCATGTGGCTCCTCACTCATAGCCAGCTCTCACATCTTCCTGCCAGCAACAGAGGAAATGACCGACGGTGGCCTTGAAGGATTTTTCCAAGGACTCAGTTATCTCCAGAGATTTTTCTCCTGTCATTTTACAAAGAAGAAAACAAAAGGACACTGGAAGTAGAAAAACATTTGATAAAACAATTTGATGAAGTGCTGTGATGCCTCACCAGTACCTGGGGCAAAACACAGTAATTTCACTGCATCCTTCCCTACTCAAATCACACACTTCCAAATACGCTGTGACTGACTCCACGATCAGTGGCTTTACTCCGTAAATACAACTAGTTCTTGGGTGAGGAAATAGAATACTTCCCAGATACACGTGTTTGGAAACACCAACTTACCGATATCCTGAAAATACAACTAGCCAGACTGAGGCCTTTTAAGTATGTGCCTCATTGTCACATCCGCCCACAGCAGACAGCAGTCACGGGGTGAAATCCTGCGAGCCAGGCTATGCGGGAGATTGGAACAAGTGACAGAAGCTCGGAGGAGATCATCAGAGTACGAACTGAATCTGCACTCCTAAACCCTGTTAGCTGTTCAAAACGGAGAGTCCATCTTCTCTGTCCCTTCTCCTTGTGCAGGCACACAGGGCAGGAGAGGGGGAGCGTGGCCTGCCATCACCCGCAGCGAGCGGTTGCCAGAGGCTGCCAGCTCCGACCCAAGGAGCACAACACGCAGGCGCTAATCCCCACACCCTCTCTGTGTGTCTGTGGGTGTCCAAAATGATGGTGAGTTAGTGTCACAGGCACTAACGCCTGCCTAAGTTTTGAAGCACGTGCCCCATTACACGCCGGTTTCAAGTATCCATGCCACGGCTCACGTGCCGAGGCTTTCAGGTTTCAACATGTCAAACTAAAAAGCTGCCAGAGGAAAGATTTATTTCTCAGTTGAGAAACTGGAAATTGTCACACTGCACCAAGCCCCTGTGGACAGCGTGTCCAGCACTGCGGCCACAGTCACATCCCTCGGGAGACACACACGAACCCTACGGCTGCGCTCCAACCCTAAACAAAGGGTAACTCAAACTTCAAGGCTTCCAAAATATCGTTAGCATTTGCCGTGATAACCCAGAGACTCGTTTCACACACAATGATCAAACACCCTCTTAATTTCAGTTTCACTGGGAGTCCCCAAGGTCCGGGATGCAAGAGGAATCGCGAAGCTCCCACTCCACTTACTCTGTCCCACACATTAACATGTCACAATGCACAGGAGGAGAAAACGAACTGAAAAGTGAATGTTTACAGAAATGTAACTTAAAATATTTAACTGCCATTCCTAACAGTAACAGAAAAATGGGAAAGTGTAACAGAAAAAAGATCTATATAATAAAAAAGATCAGTGAAAATGGGAATGGGCCGAGTGCCTACCACCACTCATGCCTTTTCTTTTCCATCCCCTCCTCCTTTTGGGACTGCAAGGTGTATGGGCCATCTCTCCTGTTTTTCCCTCCTATTCACACAGCCTCTTACAGGACAGAGTCACAGATAGTAGGAAACAGATTTTGCTGCATTAGAGTGTCACACTGTGAGCATTTTAAAGATAATTAATGTGTACACATTGAAATTACTCCACAACCACAACCTTTCATTCAATAAAAATAAACTCTCATCATTTATGCTTCGTTCAGTAATTACAGAAAGTTGCATTTTCCTCAATCGACACACAGAAATATTTATAGAAAAAAGATACTAACAAAGAAATGTTATTTTCTGAAAACTGCATGAATTTTTTCACTATTTCTCATGCTGAACTATATTTTCCATGTGATCAGCCTACTGCTGCCATCCAACTTTCTTAGGCTGTTGAGACTACTGCTTTACCTGTGAATTGTTCAAAATGAGATCTCAAAATGAGGAGATGCAGAGCACATTCTGGCAACCTGCAGGCAACTCAGTGACACCTACGTGATTCTAGTCCAGCTGCTGACAGTTCTTACCAAGAAAAAGAATACGTATTTGCCCTGAATTCCCAATTATTATAAAATTGCCTGTCTTTATTTTTCAGAACTATGGCCTTTTATTGCATTTTGCATCACCACTCAAATTTAGGAATAAAACGCATACATTGAGCCACGATGCATTCCTGGCTGAAGTATCTCTGCAGTTTACAACATTCCATCTAAACACCTGAAAAACATTATTGCTGATGATGGAATAGCTCCACCTTCTGGAATAGAAGTTATTTTCTTGACAACTATCTGTATTTCCAACACGTATTTGTGTGTAAAAATTTCTGGTTCAAAAACTTGTATGTTTTTACTAATATGGAAGGTGAATCTTGGGTAGAAAAAGTCCTAATTGACTTTAGGACAATAATGTGATCTCTGATAATCTTCAGGGAGCATTATGTTCTCATGACACTGGAAGTGCACGGCTATTGTACAGCATGCCATATTATAAACTGACCTTATTACTTAAGAAATAGCTGTAATCTGGTTGTGAGAACAAGAACTTAAACTCTGTTTAAGACAAAACACTCAACACATATTTAACTTTAGTCCTCATTTAGGGTACTTTAAGCTTGACCTTAAAAGTTTGCAGTTTTACAGAAAGAAGTGTGTTGGCAGTTAACCAGTGCCGTAACCCGGGAGATTAAAGCCCCTGCTGAAGTGCTTGAAGTCTGAACTATAGAGAAGGGGCTACAACTGACCCTTCTGATTTATCAAAACACTGAAATGTATGTTTAAATGAAGTATTTCAAGTTAAGCACATGATGCATTTTAGGTAGGTAATTAGTAACGATGATTCCCATACATAAAATTTAACTTATGGTCAAGTCAGATGTTCAGCTGGAAAGGCCAGAACAAAACCATGATCACAATTTCTGATTTGATCACTTTCATGTATGATGGGCACATTCTATGGCCGTTGCTTGAAAAAAAAGCAGCGTTAATGAATTAAGTTCTCACATACTTACTTGTAAAGGGAAAATAGCATTGAAGTTCTTAGTGGTCTACTGACTGTTGCTGTGCAGCATTTCTTGGTTTCACAGGAAGGGTAGAGCCACCAAAAAAACCCAAGAAAAGTTAAACATTTACATCTCCATCTACTTTTGAAATAGTGATATATCTATTAGTACATACTCACGGACACACAAGAATAGCAGAAATTTAAATAAACTTGCTTAACAAAACAAAACAACTGAACCTTTATTTCTCTGTATAGAAAGAGGTGTCCCTATGTGCATTCTTCAGCTAAGGAAAATGAAAAATCCATGCAGCCCTTGCAAGAAATAAATCCTAAGGTGGTAATATATATACAAAGAAATTTTCCCCTTTAGTAATCCTCTCAACAGATGCATTATGTCATTTAGGAGAGTCAAACTTATGACTACTTTATAGTAGAACATTCTACTACATTTTTTTCAGTACAATAGCAAATCCATTGCTTGAACCACCATATTGCTCACATCAGTTGAACAAGAGCAAGTAACAAACTTATGCAGCTGAACGTGTATCTGGAAACCAGACTCCTTATGCAAAGTAAGCACAATGAAAGGAGAGAGAAGAAATAAAAGGACTTTTCTTCAAAAAAAACCCCAAAACTTTCCGCAACTTCCCATCTTGTATGGCTTTTGAATTTTCCCATCCATAGTCAAGTATTGACTGTATTTAAATACAGCAATGCAAGGAAAAACAAAAATTAGAAGTTTAGCATACTGTATTACTTTATGTAATACAGCATTAAAATCCCATTTGCTAAGGCTACAAAGGACAGATTTACAGTAGTATGAGGTACCAGCATTTATGGTCAGAAATGTAAAGATGGAAAATAATTATACAGCATTGTCATCAGACATTTCTTTTTTCTTTCTTTTTTTCCTTTTGTGTTTTTTGAGGGGTTTTGGTTTTGTTATTTTTTTTACAAAATACATGTCTTGATGACCACATGCTTTAAGCTTATATTCATTTTTTTTTAATATATATTTTTTATTTGTTGGGGCAATTGAGAGAGAGCCACAAATAAGGAAAGGACACTAAGGTTTTAATAAGGGCAACAAAAAAATGCTTTCACCAGAATAGATTCACATTACAGTACACCAATATTGACAGCATTCTCTTTTGTCTATTTTTGGTACATAAGATGGAATCTCTCTACAATAACCTTATAAGGCTTCAGTAACTAAAAAGTAAAAAAACCTATTAGTTTACAATTTATTTAAAAATTCTGAAAGACACAGCAAGTTCTAAACTTTAGTAGTGCTACCCATACACAACCATCCGGTTTAAGAACCCATTAAAAGAACCTTCTTTCAAGGGAGCTTCCAACAGCAGGCTTGTGCAATATGGATGTCTCTTACTACAAGGGAAAAAAAAATTACACATGGCACATTCTCATTCATATTTTCCAATGTAAAAAGTTACAAACATACCTAACCTAATAAATAATAATTAAAAAAAAAAAAAAGGAATCTGAAATGTGTTTGTTATGTATCCTAAAACCACTACACAGAATAATGGAAACTTTCACTCACAAACTATTTACATGGTAATACCCAGGTGAGGGTACCCACTGCTACAAAACTCGTAAAACAAAGGGTAAACTTGAAATGTTTTCCATAGTAAAGGGCTAGCAGCATGACTATATCTAATGCTGTTTGTTTTCTTGACTGTTTTTGGAAGTTTGTTTTAATCTATGTCTTCATCCAGTTCATAATTGTCTTTATCATAAATATCTTTTACTAAAAGAACCCGTACAAGCATATTTTCCAAAGTGTTGCGGTCCAGTGAAGTCGCAGTGTACCAGATGGGACTCTCCGTGGAGACAGAGCACTCTGGTTGCAGATAGAACATGTCCGTCCTCTGATTCAGATTCTGTGGGCTACAAGGGGGAAAACAGGGGTTAGAACAAGGAGTCTCACAGGACAAAACAGTACATTAGCGGTTCCAACCCAGGCAAGCGACAAAAAGCGAAGATGAATGGGGAGAAATGCGGTCTTGTTAAAGAAGGAGCTGTGGCA